AAGCCGGTGTAGGTAGCGGGCAACTGAGGCCGAAGAGAAGCATCATACAGGACAGGTGGGGAATAGGACGCTATCGGTGATTGGTTAATGTTCAACCAACGGTATTAATTTATTCAAATGAACTATACGTTACAGCACTGTTTCCAATACAAATATTAAATGTTAATGTTATAAATCAATATGCATATATAGAGCTATATAGAGCATATATATATAGCTACATAGAGGTGTTTTTGTTAACCAACCAGACTACCTTCAATTCGTATTTTACCTCCTGGAACATGGAACCCCACTCTGCTGACTGAGGAGAGCTCGGAAGGTAAACTGAGCCCTCCATGTCAACTACCTTCCAGACTTTCAACGCCTTTGTTCCAGGAGTTTACGTCCCTCCTCCAGGAAGCACTCACTACCTCATCGTCGCAGCCCACCGAGGCTGACCGTTTTCAGCCACCGCTTCAGAGCCCTTCGACCACCGAAAGGCTCCTGGTCTGGAATCCTTAGTACCCCTGAGATGAAGAAATTGCCAGCTTGGGTTGATGTGTTAATCGTTGCACTAATGAGCTCTTGTCTCTGTCTGACTCACATCCCGTTCTCCTGGAAGGAGGCAACAATGATGCTGATCCCAAAGCCTCAAAAGGACCCGATCTTCCCGGAGAACCACAGGCAATTTTTACGCTGACTGTGTTCTCCAAGATCTTCGAGTCGAAAGAATAATCTTGGCAAGATTCCCTAGCTGCTTTTTTTAATCAATCAGGGTAGAGCGGTATGGCTTCAGGAGGGGTCATTCAACCACTCTCCAGCTACTTTGCGTGATGAACAACGTCTCCGCAGCACTGGAAAATAAGTACCATTCCCCGTCTATCCTGATTTACGTCAGCAAGGCCTACGACAGGGTGTGGCACAAGGGGCTTATCTTCATACAGGATCCTAACGATCGTACAAGATCTTTATGCGAGATTCAAAAGCTTCGCCTCTTTTCCCTGGCATCTATAGTCCAGAGGTCCTTCGCTCTTCGCAGACGATGCACAGCTTACAGTGGTCCTATATCCTACAAGCCATGACTTCAAGAGAGGACGATAAGTGAATCAACCCTTGTTAAACTTCTAAAAGATTAAATTCGCTCCTTAAGTCTGATTTGAAGCGTTTAAGATTTATGGATTCCTAATAGGTTTTTATGCATAGTCTTTGGAAAACCTGCTATTATCCACAAGACATAAGTCATGTTTAAATAGCGATTCCATTAAACATACTAGTACTGTAATTAAATAATGTGGCCGCACTTTTGTAGTAACTTGGCAAGGTAACACATGAATTCTTGAAAAGCTTAGCAAATATTTGTGTATCGTTTGGTTAATGTATAGGCTTCATGTTAATCTTGCAGTGACAGGGTATAAATCAAACTTTGAGTGACTTGAGCAATCCATAACATCAGTCATGCGACTGTCTCTGATATGACGTATATAATTTGGCCAGCCACCCACACTTGCATCATATTACATGTATAGCATATCATATCATATTACATGTATAACCTCAATTGGTATGCTCAATGTATCTTTATGACTACCCTTTCTACGCGAATAAGCCCAGTAGTCTATTTGTTTTTATGATGAAACAGAATATAATGTTACATACCATTTGGAATACAACAACACCCTTTCAATTGTTGAAATTTAGTAATATTTTTGAATTAATACACTTAAGAACTTAGCTTGGTATAACCATGCTGGAATATAAGCATAATTGTGACTAAATATTTTTATAATTTATCTAAAATGTATCTGTTAACGACAATGTACCACAACAGGTTAAACATAAATATTTCGGGTATTTACAAGAACGTTTTTACATACAATGGCAGTACACAAATCTTAAATAAATATGTTAGAATGGATCACAAATTTGCTAATATTGTCTCGTAGATTAGCCTACTGTGTAACTGGTCTCTGTCTTTTATTGAGGTTGCATAACCTTTTCGTCTCTTGGAGCAAATATAATCTGCCTTTAAAAGACTAAAAAGTAAATAGTCAAACTCCTGAGATTTAAACAACAAATACACCATACATGAACTGAAATAAATTCGCTTGTCTTTTGTAAAGCGAAACACTTTATGAACTTCAGAGACATAATAGATAACTAATGTGTTCAGTTTGTTCACGAAAGCCTCATAACATTCATGTTTAGCTCCAGGCTTAAGCAACGTATCAGTCATACAGCTGTGATCGTAATCGTCTATCATCAATAACCTGACGCCACGCTACAACACTCTATCTGTCTGTTCAGTTCAGACTCTACATGATCATTAATTATCCCAATAACACCTGGTATCAGTCAAGTTCAACTCTGACTAGTTTGAGCAATAAGTTATAATAGGTGGTTAAAGTTAAGGGACCGTATTTGACCTTTCGTTACCATCTTTAACTGCTGTGGTCTTATAGTAGTAAATTAATTATCGCAAAAAAATTGCCTTTACATCCAATAAGAATCATTGGAGTAACATGATGAAAGCCCGTTGCGTTCTTGGTTTTTTTGATGTTTTTTTTCTACAAAATAATAGTGTTAGTAGTTTTTTCTAATTATTAAGAAATTGGAAACGTGTTATGGATATTATTAGAATGCCAATAACATAACCTTATGCATGTTCTAGTTTGAGTAGGAAACCATTATTTAAACAACCCTGGAAAACCCTGGAAGCAAACAAATGTCTTTGAATGTATAACTGAGGTACGTTTCAATGAGGCTAGCCACGACAAAGCTATATTTTTTCCACTTCGATGGTATTCTTTAACAAACAAAAACTAATAAGCGAAATAAAAGTTGTGTTTGATTTTTTCCCTCAAACGAGCTCTCAAAATATATAATATTATTATCACAAGCGGATTTTGCATAAAACTAAGGTTGCAATTTCTTCTTGTATGAATGGATCCATTCGTTTGTAAAGTAATTAATAACGAGCACTTAATGCAAACATTTTTATAATTGAATTTAAACATACTGTTTACGAATTACCTTTGATAACTACATTGGTGTATGGCTTAAAGTTATACTGCTTATCATCAACTCTCATTAAAATCCGTGTTGCATGTAGGCCTTTAGAATCTTTGCTCATCGGTAATTCTGACGTAGTTTTTGTAAATGCTTTTCTGTGAATATTTTGAACATTAAAATAAATTACACTAAAACAAAATTGTTAATATTAAAATATATGACACAAATAGGGGAAACTGGTACACTGTCATATAATTGGAATATTGTTAGGTTTAAAATACGGAAACAGATAAATTTAGTTACTAAAAATGGCTGACCATATTTCAGCCCTTAATAAATTGACCGACGTCGCTATATTTCCATAAGGTTCAGCACCTTTGGTTTAAATTTGTATTAGCCTCACTAGGTTATTTTATAACTAATCCGGTGAAGTTGGAGACCACATTATTTGAGGCTTTTAGGAAACTCATCTGATAACTGCGTTTCTTGAGAAAACTCCTCAGTGTTGGCCTTGTTATCACATAAATTAATCCCCTTTAAGCCTGGAACCCTTTTGAACCTGTTAATTGTCTATTCTCAAACAATACTCTAGACAGTTTTCAGTTTTGTGGAAGCCTAATGACACTTTTGCAGGTGCCTCTATTTTAAGATTAAAGTTTTTCAATATGCACTAATAATGAACTCCTGAAAATTGATACAAATAACAGGTATGCAGATTATTTAAATTCCCTGGATGACAGTGTGTAATTAAATAAGTTGAACCTAAACTAGGTGTTTTTTGTCTTTATAGAATCCAAAGATTTAGCGTTAGATCATCTCCCACCAACATGGAAACGTAGAGGTCATGTTTCACAATATGGGTATGGTTTTCTCAAGCATCATCTTCCTGGAAAGCAATTTACGTGACCCTACATCGTGAAAAATAACAAACGGTGATTTTTTACGGATTGTATTCGTCATTATTAACTACATGAATGTCCTACTCCGATACGAAATGTACATCAACTGTTCCATCGTCATCAACATTTAAGTAAAATTCTTTGTTTTCCGTTGAGTTAGGCAACCTGGCCACTGTAAGCTATACATGATTGGTTTTAAATGTATTAATTTCACTTTATTATTTCCTGTGTCCCAATGTGCCCTACCGGAACATTTTTACGAAAAAAAAACAAACCATTGGTCCAATGTCTGCCTACAAAAAAAAAATAACAAAAAAAAAACAAATCCTATTTGAAATTCAAAGTCCTGATTCATTGTTTTTTATGCGCCTAGGTTCAATTCCGCTGGATTTTTTGTTTGTTTTGTGAAAGTTAACGTACAGCTAGGATTTCTTATCTTTGAATCATAAATACTAACAGGCCATTTTCGGTTTTATCAGGTTTATCAGGACTTTTATGGCTTCATTCCAAAATCTTAAGCTTGTAAGTTTGCTCGGCTAGACACGCGTTTTAAGGTATATTAAGTGGACATGTGTCTGAAAATCAAAATGTGCTTATCGAAAACATATTTTGAATGTACCATTTTAAAAACCATAATATAGAATAATGGTCTGTATCAATGTTAACCATTCGGTTTTCCACTCCGAGAATACTGAAGGACAATTGAACATGTCTGCAACTCCCAGGAGAGACGATGTTGAGTTTCTGCTCACGTATCTGGACTAAGCTAAAGTTTTTCTTTCCTGTGGACAGTTTCATTGAAACAGAACTTAAGTAATCTCTCAGCTTTACTAAATACCTAATATCCATTTAACTATATCAATACAAAAAAATGTGCTTGTAACAAAGAACCAGCCTTTCACTCATCGAAGATACGATTTATAAATTTAAACACTCTATTAATTTTGTACGGAATAATATTTCAGTTAATATTTAAATGTTCAGCAAATCTTTACATAAAATCCAAACACGAACTCCATCGGTGAATTAAAATTACAAGGAAACTCACTCTCGAAAATATTACAAACCTTTCTTGCCTTCTGCACAATCAACAATAAAATAAAACACAACAAAACCTATCCTAATTTATTTATTAAACAAATTTACAATAATTAAAAAAATATCTGTCTAAGTTTTTTTAATTATCATATACTTAGGGAATCACCTTAGTCATTTGAATCAGGAGTCAGGAGTGTGGGATTTGTACCGGGGAGGATGGTATTAGTGGAGATTATAGCCTGCGGATACCGGAGACGTGGACGTGCTGTGGGGGTGCTGGTGGGGGTGGTGGGGGAGGGATTGGTGGTGGTGGTGGGGGTGGTGGAGGTGGTGGTGGGGGGAGAGCAGGAACAGGACATTGATCCTGACAGACATGTGCAAACACGCGGCAAGGGGCGCTGGTGCCTCCGAGGACGTACAGAGGCAAAATGTAGACCTTCAGGTTGATGTTGGGAAGAGTACACTCCATGTTGACGTTCTGGACGATGTACTTGTTCTCTCTAGCAAGGATCCTAGAGGACTTGTAGATGTCGAAACCGATGATGGGGACGGCACCGGAATCCACCCCAGGAGAGTCGATCATCACTCCGTACACATTAGGCTGACTGGCGAGGTACCTAGCCGCCTCTGGAATGACATGAGATGTTATTCTAGGAGAATCACTTTTGGCTCAATGATGGCTCTGTAAAACTCAATTGTGAGTTTTACAGGGTTGTAGGGCAATTTGAGGACTTCAATCAACTTAATGTTTTGTTATACCAGCTTTAACAACTTACATTGTACAAATACAATGACAAAAAAGTTCAAAAGCTCAAAAGTTAGCTTTTTTGCTATCGTCTATTGTACTTACCTACAAGAACTTAGGCAACAACAACAAAATTGAATCGAATGAACATAGTTTCTTAATATACCATGTTTGTTTAGCCTAGAAAGGTGTCGGCATGTTACTATGTGCCACAAAGATGCATAATGAATATGAAATAGAAGAACTAATCTACATTTTCCAACCAAATATATTATAAATAATTCATTTTATATAAGTAAGATTGAAACCAAATTTAGTTTCACACCATAATTAATGTAAATCTAAATGCTTAACACTTTCTGTAACCCAAAACCACGGAAAAGCTTTGTTTAGTATGTTAAAATACTCACACATTCTTAATGAACCACTTACACGTAAAATATTTATTTTTACAAATCAATTAGGATATACCATACTAATATAACGATTATAGTTCAATATTCGTATATGAAAACAATAGTTTTGGAATGTTTACCTTCGGAGATGCCGGGGTAGTTGTAGTCAATGGGCAGCAGGTCCAGACCTAGGACTCCCTCAAGACCGAACACACGCTCCTGGTTGGGCCAACGGGTCGCCCATCCTGTGTAGAAGATGACCACGGTGCCGGGACCGAAGCATCCGTACTCGTTCTCGTTGCAGACGATGTCGTCCACTGTCGCTTCATAGTTAGGGTTGATCTTCACTTGGTCACTGATGTCGATCACTCTACCTGCACAACGCCTTCTTAGATACTGTTTGACATTTCATGTTGTCCTTAATGTTAATTTGTATGGGGGAGCGAGCTGGCGTAGTGGTTAGAGCGAGGGACTTTAGTCCCTGAGGTCCCGGGTTCGATCCCCGCCAAGTCACCAATGGATTTTATCCAAGTGATAATGCCGCAACCCCTAGGTCTAGCCTGAAGTAATATCAAAAACAATTCCAGGCTCGTGCCTAGCGTCCTAGGACAAAACAAATGTTAATTTGTATACCCTTTGACTTTTGATACCGCAGTAGATATTTCATAATAAATACGGGCCTTTGTAGTATTTTCACGGAGAACAAAGGTGAATAAGCCTCTCATAAAGAGTACAATTTTTATTTTCTGTTCTAGTTTTACACTATAGTTACAGTGTAGAGTAACATGTCCTTTCATTTCGACCAATACTAAAAGGATGTAGGTATGATATATGTTAACTAAGTCTTACAATAGTACATCGTGTCCGTATATTAATTAAACGTCCTATCTATTAAGGGCTGCACTTTACTTTAGGTCCTACACAAACAACCGAATGAAAATATCAATTATTCGATTGTTTCATTCGATATATCGTTTGGTTAGTTAGGTTAGGTTAACCTTACATAACTAACCAAACGATATATCGAATATTTGATATAGCGATCGATATTTTCATTCGAATGAGTGTAGGACCTAAAGTAAAGTGCAGCCCTATTAAGTTATAATTATTTTATAACATTTAAATTCTTCAGAATGTATATTGTGTATTTAATTAACAGTATAGCATGTATTGTCAAGTGTATTAGATTCCGACAAAATGTATTTGCATCAACTAGCAATGAACATCCCTGTGCATAATTCTAAATTACGATAAAGTAAAAGCAATGGAACCCATCAAAATGGTAATCTAATAATTGTTGGAAAAATATTGATGGGTTTAGAAAAGGTAATCTATTGCCCCAATAATGTATTAATATAATTAACTACCTAATGCTTAGTTTTAGTTTTTAACCAATATCCCAGCAGATAATATTGGTTTACTCACACACTAATCAAAGGCCCAATCAACCGTTACTGGATTCGCTTCAGGCTCATATCAAGCGTAACGCTTACGTTATTGCTTAATCTTATTATCTTGTATTCAATGTGCTTTTAATAGTCACACCAATCTCACTGGTAATTTCTATGGATAGATAATGATTGTTGACAGTCTTTAAAATTAACTTCAACGAGTAGAAACAAAAAAAAAACAGACAAGAGAAAAAAATAATTATATTCAGAGTAAAAATTTGATATTATTTTTTTTATCAAAGACTATATTGGGATTTGAACGGAAAAAATGCAAAGCCTTATAATCAAAAAATTATAATATGTATGAAGACAAGTACAGTACAACTAATACTATACCAACTATTATTTATATTTTTTTATATATTTATTTATATGTTTATATATTTATTTATATGTTTATATATTTATTTATATGTTTATATATTTATTTTTATATTATTTATCTTTAGTTGTTATTATTTATAGCGTACATAAATTATAGTTGACATTATATGTTGTTTTATATGTCCATCCGTATATCGGTAATCAATTTTTAATCTTAAATTATTATTTATTCTCTTAAAAACTAAATGCATTTAATGTATAGTAAAACATGTTTGTGATGAGCTTTAACTATTTACTAATATAAAACAATCATAAAACATAAAAAAATATTTTATTTATTAAAAATTAAAACCTAAAACAGTACTGTATGTGGCAGAGTATTCCCATGAAATAAAAAAAATATATAGTTTTCAACAATTAATGAAAAAAATAATTAAACATGAACAAAACCCAAAAATATAAGGGACCTAGGCTAATATCATGTAAAGCAAGTCGAAAGTAGCACTAACTTTACACAACCCCCATTACTAAAGACAATTAAAAGTACCCCCTTCATTTAAATATTCAGGATAATATGCGTAAAAATAAATAACATTTAGAACATAAAATGTTTATCTTTCAACCAACTTAAATGTATTGCAGTGAATACCCTAAATTATATAAGGGCTATAAAGGCCCTCTGTAAGCAAGTTTTCTTATACAGTTTTTTGATAATACTAATATAAATATTCCGGACAGTATAAACTCATATTTAATTTTGCTTATTAAGTATTTTGTAGCTGTAGGTTATATAACCATTGACTATACTATCTGTTTATAGTCAATGATATAACTTATATGGTACCTTCAATAAATAGATTCAGACGTGAACATTTATGAAAACTACTGATAAAAAATAGTTTCCATCTTATATTTTATTTAGTAACGGAGCTCGTATCCCCGAAAATGTGTGGATATTGTTTGTTACCCTTATTATTAAAATAATGTATCTAGGTAAAAACACATGATAGTATATTCAACTTAGAAAGTGTTATCATAATGTTTAAAGTTTTTCTTAATAAACATTCGTATTCCAACTAATATTTGTATTATTTATGATAATTGTTCTAATTAAATGAAATACTGTAGGTTAAGAATAGAATTAAGTCGATGAGCTGACAGTAAAGAATTGGGTCGACATAGACAAAACGAACTCTTCATAAACCGATGTTAATCACCAGCATTGTTGAATTATTAATGAATTATTGACTGCGTCGGACGCTTTGTTAATTTGACAACGTTATTATACTTCAGCGTGTAATTAGTTTTTCATTAAAGTAATTGGATTTTCTTCCATCGTAACTATGCCTCACAAATTGATGGACTATTGTTTCTAAACATAAATATATTTTTCCAAGATTTAAAATTCGTTTATTTAAATATTTAATGAATATCAGCTGTATAGTAAATATCATATTCCATGTACCGGTGTATCTAAGGTAGTCATATTCCCTAATAAATAGCCTCACCGATGTTAAAATTAATTATATGTGTAATTAAATCAAATTGGCTTTAAATCTTAAGCAATGGTTTGTGTAAAGTGGCATATTTAATTTAGTAATGCTTCCAAAGTAGATATTGATCTTGTTAAATTATTTTGAAAAAAAGCTTTAGTATTGGAAATCTCCATTTCAACACCCGAAAAGTCTTGAAAAGATAACAGAACTAATCAATAACTTACCATTAAGTCTGACCAGTTGGCTGAAGGGTATTTCCGAAATCTGCCTACTGAACGGGTAGAAGGTAGCCGGAGCGGTCATCGAGGTTCCAGCAAGTCCGGAAACGGAGAAGTTGTAAGACAAGAAGAAATGAGGTTCCGGATACTCATAGGCGAGGTTGAGGTCGAAAGCCTGCGGATCCAACCCCGGATATGGCGGAATACCCTCGTAGAAGGGGTGTGTAAGGTCAAACGTGGACTCATCGGTGTAAAAGTAACATGGGTCCAAAATACAATTACCGAGGCCGAGCAGTGTCAAAAAGTAAACAGCATGGAGAATCTCCATGTTGGCTACATACGCGCCTTGACGGAGCGAGGTAACCAATAGTGGGGACTGCCTTTACAGCTGTTATCAGTAATATATAAGCGACAGGTTGATATTGCCTGATAAGCGACAATATTTATTGTGCTCTCGGTAGTTTTCCTTATCGTTGAGTACACTGATACGGACAGTCGACTTTGGATGTTGTACGTAAGAGGGTGGAAAATGTGTGGGGCCCTTTGATTATTGGGAGGTACCCATAAGCTGTGATTATTTAAAATAAGGCTTATGATATGGCTAAAATGAAATTTTGTTACCACATTAACGAAATTAAACCGTCGAAGGAGAAAAGGACATATTGCATGGAAACTTGTTTCAGCTGAACACTATGCTATATAATAACAATTAGATACAACGCAAAGCGAAACGTGGCCAAGCGAGAGATGTAAAATTAATATAACCAAAATCAAAATATACGATTAAAATATACACATTACTGTATAAGAATGATATCAAGAATATTTTTAGTCTTACCCCAAACAAAAATTGTCGGTCAAATCCTATTTTTATAATATTTGTTTTATTAAATTAAAATGTTGTCAAATAAACCAAATATTTTGTACAAAATAAAATAGTCTATTTCACTACAAGTCACGGAATGGGACTTTCGTGACGAGTATTGAACGATACTTTTTATCACGATGAAAAAAACTATTTCATCACCCTTTTGAGCTAACGGGGAACTTCAGTTGTAAGTTTGTTGATGTCAGACAAAGTATTGTTTGTGTAGCGAAAGTAATGTTTATATCAGGAAAAGTCAGCTGATCATTATTTGTTTTTGGTGTATGGAAATTGAAGATTTTCACAGATCTCAGCTGTATGGAAATGGGCTATTTTCAAATACAGAGCGATGAAAAAGTACTTCATTGAAACAATATAGGCATCTACAAAACTACCGCCCCCTTCAATTGCCGACGATTACTATATTATAGCATAAAACCAATATTTCTACTTAAAATCTGTGTTATCTATCTATGTCAGTTTTATAATGGATTTTGATCTTGATCTAATAAATCAACATTTTATACCTCTGAGGATTAAGTGGAAAAACAAGCTTCAAGCAGATCTATTGAGAAGTAACTTCGATTGGGAAAAAGCTTTTACTAACTTGTCTACTTTCCAATTGTAATGCAAAAATAAATGTGTTTATAGCGATCTGTCTTAACTATTTCCAGGTAACGTAGATGTAAACTTGGACAAGGTCACTTATATGTTATTATATACAATACAATGAGCACAAATTACATGATACAAATTAAATATTTATACACCTAAAAAGCTTTCTTTGCTCTTTTTCTTCTTACAAATCAACTAAAATAAGCTTTATTTGTGAAGAAAATTTCTACATTATAGACTAGCATCAACAATAAAAAAAAAAAAAAAAATCCGTAAAAAATTCCGTAAATTTTAAATTTTTTAAATACTATTACGTTTTGATGGTACAATAATTAATCCTTTTTATTTAATTCGTTTACTATTTTGTCAAAAAAATCACCAAAGTGGTTATAGGGATATTCAGCTAAATCTGTTTCTACTCTCTCAAATCACGCAGCATCCTGTCCCTTCATGCAAAGTTCAGGGAACGCATTGTGAAATTTGACTCCGTTGTCCCCTGTCTTAAAAAATGGTCTTGTGTTAAAAATGTTGATATAGTTTTGGATACAAAGCGTGTATTGTGTTTGTTGGTGCTGTGGTCGGAAATAATCCAAGTTGCCATGTACAAAATGAAGACAATAATTAGGGATGAAGAATAAAAATTTGTTGTATTTTATTTTCCTAAAGAAGGGTTTTTTACGAACTGTGATGAGATTTCCTGAAACAAGCTCTAATAGTTGTCTTTTGTGGTAGGAACAAAAACTTCTTCTGGCGCACACAGCCCTAGATGACAAAAAGGTCAGAAAAGATAGTGAAAACTGGTACATAATATGAATTCAGGGTTACTCGATAATCTCTGAACTTTAAAAGATTTCCTATGCCAAGTATTCAGGAACTGTTTTTAATTATGGCCATAATTTATTTGTGATATAAGCGGTTGTTGTCCTGAATAAGTCCAAGAAGAACATACTGAGGAGCAGCGCTTCCCGAGTTATTAATCTAATACAATTGCCATTTCATAGTTATTTCCTACATAATAAAAGAATTACAATTTAATAGGTTAGGTTTGTATTTTTAATGAGAAATATTTTGTTATAGTTATCTCTATTTGAAGGCGTTTAAACTCACAAACGTATAGTTAAAGAGATGAAATTGGAAACTGCTAATTTTAAAATTTTTGCCACTCTCCATATACCATATATGATTGAAAAAGCTTTGAAACGGGTTGCTAACGAAGAAAAGCCATATAAGTGTAAAACATATTTTTAAACAAGAAACTGAGGTACATGTGTGCTGGTCCTTAACCTTTGATTTTACAAGATCCAGTAGAAATCACAGATCTCAGCTTTTACATTATTGTTTTAAAAATAAATTCCGTGTACCTGATAAGGTCTACGATAATTGTAGTCGTACAGAGTACGCCAGACCGGTATTCAAAATAGGTTAAGTGGAAAGTCAACCAACCATTTTATACTACGAGTATTGTTAAATAATGTATTGCACCACCTACAGTATTATTACAGTACAGTATTACAGTAGTACAGTGTATTGTACAGTAGTGTAAAAGAATAAAAAACTTGGTACGATGATAATTTTCGATTAGAACTATGAAGCATGATCCTGAAATCTGCATATTTGATTTGCTATCAGCAATAAGACAAGATACAGAATAACCTTTTAGTGGATATGATTTAAGACAAAAACAACAAGGATTAAGACATCTTCTGTTATTGCTAGGCTTTACGGATGGGTTATCAGTGAACTCGGATTTTTTCCGACAGTCACAGTATTCGATGGATTTATTAGTTTCGTACACGTTAGTCCCAAACATTGTATGTTTAAAACGTCCACAAAAGCAGTTTGTTTTAACTCAGAATGTACAATTTAGCAGCTGTCTTGCTAGAAAATTCACTATGGTAACACAATTGAAAAGTTTCCTTATCAAGTAGTAAGTCCGATATTTTGCTTGGTTCACGAAAAAATATAGTTATGTTACTACACGTTCCGAGAGTTAGATTCCAATAGGAGCTCAAATAAATAAATTGTCCTTAAGAGGAAAACTAATCTATTTCAATAGATGGAACCACGAGCAAATAATTTGACAAGAAAAAGTAACAAATGTACGAAAATTTGGAAGAAAATAACCTAAAAGGAAATATAAAATTCAAACTAACATTTTAAGCCGATTATATGTTGTGTTATATGTTTCCATACCTTTTTACACTATTCTTATGATATAAAAATTAATCAGATATAATTTGTGAACAATAGTTTACAAAAATCTTTAATAAGTACCAATGTGGTCTTAATAAATCAGAAATACGTGAAATTAATAAGCCATCTGCTATTTTAAGAATGAACAACATTATCATGTTAAATGTACAGCCAAACCAGAAGCCCTGAACTTATTGGCGTAGAGATTTTGTAGAAACCATGTGCTTATTATCTATTCCAAACACCTAGCAATATATGGCTGGGTAGCTGGGTAAAAAGAGTTATCGTCTGGCAATCAGAATGACGTTAGCATCGACATGAGTTTAAGTAGTGCTTAAAAACTGGTCTAAGCTTAATATACTTATTATACAAATTCTTGATTTTTCGCCAGAAAAATGGCAGTTACTGTATCTCTAAATAAGCACCTTGGTGTGTTGGCGTTATGTAATATTATATATTCCTTGTTGGTGGTTTTGTTGTCAATGATTATTTTGGATTTACTTCTTATTACACAAGTAATATTATTATAGATGTGATCCTTTTATAATGGAAAAACTGATTACAAGTTATAGGTTTCAAAACTACTTCTATAAGATTTTGTTCTAAAGTTAGGCACAAAAATATACCTTGGCTATATTTTTTCAGTTACGGACCGATACCAAACTATTTCTTTCTCGTTTCTGTTCCTTAGAGAATAGAAAATTTACTTAATTAGCTGACAATAGATTTGATCTATTTACGATTTAGCAATTAAAACAAACTAGTAATACATAGCATGTTTTGTTTATTTTTAGTTTTTAAATGTTTAACTTTTATGGTTTCATGCACAAATCCTATTATTGTATTGACAATGTCTATGGATCAATCACTTAGTACTGTCATATCACGAGGACCTTAAATATGAAAATATTTAGCCTAATGACAATATTAAACAGTATTAAGAACTAAATAATTGTTTAGACGTGAGAAATGGGGGTCACTTTATATCGGTACGTTTCTCTGTATAATATACAAACTCTTTTCTAGATACGTTGGTAAATGGTAAAAAAAGAAAAACAGAGGGCTTTACCTACAGTTAAAAAGAAATATTGACGATTGTTCAGATTTGGACACGGTCCATCGAACCAAATATCCACACCCTATGCTTGTACCAATAATATAAGTAATATAATATAAGTAATATAAGCTAAAATATTAGTCTACTAGACGATTTAGAATTTTGCAATTATAATCAGCTTTTAGTCTACTCAGTTGTATCATTTTATTGGTGTTGCCAATTTCACTTTACCAGCTCATAATATGTATTGATTGTTGAGGAGGGTTACAATGAAACTGTAGAGTTATGTGTATAATCTTGCCTAGAAGTTTATATACACTCACCTCTCTCTCATCATAAAATAATAATATGTGGGATGATCAAAATACAGCAAAGAGTTGAAACGGTATAAGTCACATAGGCAAGTTAGTGTACAAGTTGAATCATGTTATGGGAGAGTACAAAATAGATAGAAAAAAAAATGTTTTTTTTCTAAACGATATGACTATAAACCATAACCTAGAATTTTGTGAGATGTTCCATAGCAAGAAAGCTCGTCAAAACAGATTCAGGTTTAACAATTCAAATCAAAGTTACATTTATATAGAAATACTCTGTCGGTTTTCAGTTACTATATAATCATTCAATCAAATGAAATAATTTTCTCAGAATTGTAATATCACAATATTAT